TATGCCAGTAATACTCACAACAGAAGTAGGTGGCTGGGAGGAAAAAGAATTGACTGATCAGCACCACCTACTGGCTTTGCCCATATAAGCCCACAATAAGATGGCTGCTGGATTGGCCTGACGAAGGAGTGAGCATGCTCCGAACGCACGCCATCTTGGAAACCCAGTCCATGCAGTGACATCATCCCTGTGAGCCTCCCTGCACCCCTCTGCTACTCCCCGAGCCCTGGACACCACCGAAGCGGCAGGAATACACCCAGAGCAGGGCCAAAAGACCTGATGCTCCCACTGGACCTCCATTACTTGACATGCCTACCTGTTACCTACCTACAGTCAGGTCCACAAATATTGGGACATCGACACAATTCTAGCATTTTTTGCTCTATACACCACCACAATGGATTTGAAATGAAACAAAACAAGATGTGCTTTAACTGCAGACTGTCAGCTTTAGTTTGAGGGTATTTACATCCAAATCAGGTGAACGGTGTAGAAATTACAACAGTTTGCAGATGTGCCTCCCACTTGTTAAGGGACCAAAAGTAATGGGACAGAATAATAATCATAAATCAAACTTTCACTTTTTAATACTTGGTTGCAAATCCTTTGCAGTCAATTACAGCCTGAAGTCTGGAATGCATAGACATCACCAGACGTTGGGTTTCATCCCTGGTGATGCTCTGCCAGGCCTCTACTGCAACTGTCTTCAGCTCCTGCTTGTTCTTGGGGCATTTCCAAGTGAAATGTATGCTCAATCGGATTCAGGTCAGGTGATTGACTTGGCCATTGCAGAACATTCCACTTCTTTCCCTTAAAAAACTCTTTGGTTGCTTTTGCAGTATGCTTTGGGTCATTGTCCATCTGCACTGTGAAGCGGCGTCCAATGAGTTCTGAAGCATTTGGCTGAATATGAGCAGATAATATTGTCCGAAACACTTCAGAATTCATCCTGCTGCTTTTGTCAGCAGTCACATCATCAATAAATACAAGAGAACCAGTTCCATTGGCAGCCATACATGCCCACGCCATGACACTACCACCACCATGCTTCACTGATGAGGTGGTATGCTTAGGATCATGAGCAGTTCCTTTCCTTCTCCATACTCTTCTCTTCCCATCACTCTGGTACAAGTTGATCTCGGTCTCCTCTGTCCATAGGATGTTGTTCCAGAACTGTGAAGGCTTTTTTAGATGTCGTTTGGCAAACTCTAATCTGGCCTTCCTGTTTTTGAGGCTCAACAATGGTTTACATCTTGTGGTGAACCCTCTGTATTCACTCTGGTGAAGTCTTCTCTTGATTGGTGACTTTGACACACATACACCTACCTCCTGGAGAGTGTTCTTGATCTGGCCAACTGTTGTGAAGGGTGTTTTCTTCACCAAGGAAAGAATTCTTCGGTCATCCACCACAGTTGTTTTTCCGTGGTCTTCCGGGTCTTTTGGTGTTGCTGAGCTCACCGGTGCGCTCCTTCTTTTTAGGAATGTTCCAAACAGTTGTTTTGGCCACGTTAATGTTTTTGCTATCTCTCTGATGATGGCTTGCTTCGCTGATAGTGACAGCTCTTTGGATCTCATCTGTTGACAGCAACAGATTCCAAAGGCTAATAGCACACTTGAAATAAACTCTGGACCTTTGATCTGCTCATTGTAATTGGGATAATGAGGGAATAACACACACCTGGCCATGGAACAGCTGAGAAGCCAATGGTCCCATTACTTTTGGTCCCTTAACAAGTGGGAGGCACATATGCAAACTGTTGTAACTCCTACACCGTTTACCTGATTTGGATGTAAATACCCTCAAATTAAAGCTGACAGTCTGCAGTTAAAGCACATCTTGTTCGTTTCATTTCAAATCTATTGTGGTGGTGTATAGAGCCAAAAATGTTAGAATTGTGTTGATGTCCCAATATTTATGGACCTGACTGTATGTGAGTGCAATTTGACTATTAAATCTGCCTGATTTTAACCATCTACACTTAAGAGTGGCGCTGCTGTCTCTCTTCTCTACCTTATTTTGCATTATTGTCTTTTCTCTTTGGGTTTTTGGGTATATATATACAGTGGGGATCGAAAGTTTGGGCACCCCAGCTAAAAATTTATATTAATGTGCATAAAGAAGCCAAGGAAAGATGGAAAAATCTCCAAAAGGCATCAAATTACAGATTAGACATTCTTATAATATGTCAACAAAAGTTAGATTTTATTTCCATCATTTACACTTTCAAAATAACAGAAAACAAAAAAATGGCGTCTGCAAAAGTTTGGGCACCCTGCAGAGTTAATATCTTGTACTGCCCCCTTTGGCAAGTATCACAGCTTGTAAACGCTTTTTGTAGCCAGCCAAGAGTCTTTCAATTCTTGTTTGAGGTATCTTTGCCCATTCTTCCTTACAAAAGTCTTCCAGTTCTTTGAGATTTCTGGGCTGTCTGTCACGCACTGCTCTTTTAAGGTCTATCCATAGATTTTCAATTATGTTGAGGTCAGGAGATTGTGAAGGCCATGGCAAAACCTTCAGTTTACGCCTCTTGATGTAATCCCCCGTGGATTTCGAGGTGTGTTTAGGATCATTATCCATTTGTAGAAGCCATCCTCTCTTTAACTTCAGCTTTTTCACAGATGGCATCAAGTTACCATCCAAAATTTGCTGAAATTTTATTGAATCCATTTTTCCTTCTACTCGTGAGATGTACCCTGTGCCAATGGCTGCAACACAACCCCAAAGCATGATTGATCCAACCCCATGCTTAACAGTTGGACAGAGGTTCTTTTCATTAAATTCTGTGCCCCTTCTTCTCCAAACGTACCTTTGCTCATTCCAGCCAAAAAGTTCATTTTTAACCTCATCGGTCCACAGAACTTGTTCCCAAAATGCATCAGGCTTGTCTATATGTTCGTTTGCAAAGTTCAAACGATGATTTTTTGTGATGAGGACGTAGAAGAGGTTTTCTTCTGATGACTCTTCCATGAAGACCATATTTGTACAAGTATCTCTTTATAGTGGAATAGTGTACCACAACTCCAGTGTCTGCCAGATCTTTCTGGAGGGATCGTGCAGTCAAACGTGGGTTTTGAATTGTTTTTCTCACAATCCTGCGAGCTGTTCTGTCTGATATTTTTCTTGGTCTTCCAGATCTTGCTTTAACTTCCATTGTTCCTGATGACTGCCATTTCTTAATTACATTCCGAACAGAGGATATTGACATCTGAAAACGCTTTGCTATCTTCTTATAGCCTTCTCCAGCTTTGTGAGCGTCAACTATTTTCAGTTTCAGTTTTCTAGACAACTGCTTAGAATAACCCATGGTGCTGATTGTTGGGGCAAGGTCAGATGAGTCTGGGCATTTAAAACCTTTGAGATTGACATAACCTGGTCTTCCCAGACGATGATTGAGAACAATCCATGACACTGGCAGGTCTCAGCTTTGCAAAGGGGGCAGTGCATGCTATAAATTCTGCAGGGTGCCCAAACTTTTGCAGACGCCATTTTTTTGTTTTCTGTTATTTTGAAAGTGTAAATGATGGAAATAAAATCTAACTTTTGTTGACATATCATAAGAATGTCTAATCTGTAATTTGATACCTTTTGGAGATTTTTCCATCTTTCCTTGGCTTCTTTATGCACATTAATACAAATTTTTAGCTGGGGTGCCCAAACTTTCGATCCCCACTGTATATATATATATATAAAAACACTAGCAGAGTAAAAATATGACACAAAACCAATCACTGTAAATATACACAAATATTTAAATCATTTGACATAGGTCCATCAACGGCAAAATGCACTTCATCACAATTTTCATTTTTCAGTTGATGGACGCATGTCAAATAATTTAAATATTTGAGTATATTTACAGTTTTATGTTTTGTGTCATATTTTCACTCTATTTGCACTGCTTTTATTCATCATTTTCTCATTATATACCATTAGGTATAGAAAACTATACTTACCTGCACTCCAGCACTGCGGTGTCCTGGAGCTCCCCCGGCTGCCCGCTGTCATCATCTGGATACCAATCTCTGGCTGTCTTAATTGGCCAGGCCGAGGTGACATCGCTCCCGCACACGCAGAGAAGTGCAGTCATCTCAGCATTGCCTAAATTCTTTACTGGGGTGTACATGTGCAGCCTAGGGTAAAGCAGAGGACAGGCGGGGAAGAAACTAATGATGTCCAGACCAGAGGTGTATGTATGTCACGTGACTTCAAGTGATGCCTGCAGCTGTGCAGTTTTAAAGCGTGACATGTTTGGTATCTATTTACTTAACGGGAACATCAACTTTTATATTTAAAAAAAAAAAATGGGTTATATATTGTGTGTTTTTTTTGCACTAAAACTTAAAAAAAGTGTATTTTTAGTTGAAAAACCGCTGTGCAAATACCGTGCGAAATACAAATGCAAAACCCACCAATTTATTCTCTAGGGCTTCTGCTTTAAAAAAAAAAAAAAGATAATGTTTGGGGGTTCTAAGACATTTTCTAGCAAAAAAATATTAAAAAATATTGATTTTAACATGTGAACATGTTGAAGTGGTGCAGCTGTGCATGAGAGCCAATCAGCTTCTAACTTCAGTTTGTTCAATTAGGCCTTGACAATACAATCTGGAAGCTGATTGGTTAGAATGCACAACTCCACCAGATTCTCTGTGCTCCTGTTTAAAGTGACATTAATGGATAAGTTCACCTTTGGAACATGTTACATGTTCCACCCGTTTTTAAGGTGGAACATGTAACATGTTCCCATAGCAGCAGCTGCGCCCCCCTCCCCTCTGAAGAAAAGTAAAAAAAAAATGTAAATAAGTAAATATAATTTTCTTTCCTATCTAGTTACTAATGCTAGCAGCAGAAGGTTAAAAAATAGTCGATGTTGATTGAGAGAGTGAAATTCCAAAGCTTTAATCTGCAAAGAGCTGACTTGGTATTTTCCTGCAAAATTTGCAAGAAAGCCTTTCCCAGCCATTCCTTTCTACTGAGCCACACGTAGGTTCACTCCACAGCAAAGACATTCATCTGCCAGGACTGCGCTAAGGTTTTCTGTCAAGGTGACTACCTGAAATCTCACTGCTGGTTACACACAGATTAAAATGCTTAAAAATGTCTGAAATACAGCAGCCATTTTTCCAAAAAACCAACCCTGAAACAGCACCGCCAGGACCAGCACAACCGGCTGGATCGAAAGCTGATGGAGGTGAAACTGCTGCTCCATCAAGACCCCTCCTGGCCACTAAAGTCAGATATGTGTGTGATGTATGCAAGAAGAGCTTCACCAAATCGTACAATCTGAAGGTCCACCATAAGATTCACTCAGGTGAGAAGCCTTTCCAGTGTCCAAAGTGTGGCAAGTGTTTCTTGCAGAACATTCAGCTGAACATCCACCAGACCACACATGAGGAGTGTGCACGTGGCTGGTTGGTTCTGGAAAGGCAAGCCTATGACCCAACCCGAAAGGGTCCACAAGTGTGAGGTGTGCGAGAAGAGCGTCAGCAAATCATCAGTATTTAGATGGCTACATCCAAGTAGCAAACAAAGAACATTGGGCGCCGCCATCCAAGTGTAGATTTATTAGAAGCAATAAAAAGATGTAAAACTGCACTCACATTTAGTAAGATCATAAGAGCATATCAAGGCCTCTGTGTCTGCAGAGCTCGGCAGGGCAGCGGCCAGGTAGAGTAGAACTTTGCAGACACAGAGGACTTGATATGCTCTTATGATTTTACTAAGGGCCAGTTCACACTACATGCATTTCTGTTGCTTTTTTCTGCATCCAAAACGCACATAAAGTAGGTGATATGGTTTTCAATGTCATAGTTCACATCAGAGTTTGCTGTTCCAGTGCATTCCGGCTGCAGAAAAAAAAAAAAAAAAGAAAAAAAAGGTGAACAGGCTTCATTTTTCCTGCACACAACTGTACTGGAACAAAGCAAAATGCATCAAAAACGCACCGGAATGCACATGTCCCGGTTTATACTGAAGAAGAGAGGGCAAAAAGTTAACCGAAAAGCATGAAAAACGCATGCAGAAATGCATCTGGACTGAGTTTCTATATTGGGAAGTGACCCTAAATGTGGGTGCAATTTTATTTCCTTTTATTGCTTGTAATAAATCTACACTTAGATGGCGGCTCCCGATTTTGTTTGACAGTGCAAGAGTTCATATCCAAATACTCATCCAGAGAAGCTGCAGCCATATCCAGTGGACATACCCAATGGTTACTTAGCACAAGACCTTAACCACTTCAAGTTTGGACACTTTCACCCCCTTCCAGTCTAGGACAATTTTCAGCTTTCAGTGCTATCACACTTTGAATGACAACACTGGACCCATATGAATTTTTTAGCTTTTTTTGAGACAGATAAAA